GCTGGATTATTGTTTGAATAATAATAGTCTGAGATCTAATGCCTATTCCTCCACCAGTTACATCCGAGGTTTGAAGGGGGCGTAGAGGAGCCATCCGAGGATTGCCGATTGGAAGTCCCTACAATCTTGCGCATGCCTGGCCTGATGTTTGCCCATGCATTCGGTTTAACCTCGTTTATGTATTTTTTCTGCGTAGACCTCAAGGTCAATAATCTTGCAATAATCTGCAGTTCTACGAGGTCAAGTGCCAGGGATGGTTGATGTTGGTTCAATCTAACAACCAAGCTCTATGATAAACGTGGTGACTTTAACTTCTCTATCGTCATCTTCCCTTTCTTATGCAGCAATATACCTTCATCAACTGCATGCGGAATTTTTATATCTTAGTTGATTTGATACGCATCATGTGCTACATATGAACAATTTCTACGGTCGACACAAAGACCTTGTCAGCAAATACAATTTTCATTATGAGTCAAATGCTGACTGACTTTTTCGTGTATATTGTTAGTCCATTATTTATAAACTGATTGACGACGAATTTTTCCGTTATTTCCCGATCATGATGAGGAGCACACGGTTGTGTGTCCGGTCAGCAGGGGATGCTAACTCCTCCATGGCACCTTATCCCACTCCTTTGCTCAGCTCCTGTTTTGTATTGTTTTATGGACTTTGATATTGAATACTGTCTGTTATCTCGATATCCTTCATTCGTTATTAAATATGAACGTTATTTGTTAAACATGAAATTATCTTGCATTATTGAAAATAATATAAAATATCAAAACTGCAAGTATATTTGTTTAAATCACTAGACGCCTTAATAAAAATTCAAATCATCCTCAGTATGCAGATCTAAACCACGTTAATCTGTCCTATATAAGTAAAATTAAAAAAAAAATTATCCTTGCAAATATTGTAATCTTTATTCGCCGATATGTCTATTTTGGCACCTTATGCGTACTGCTAAATCAAGCAAAAAGATGTGTAGCATTAGCCAAAAGTAATTGGTATGAACAATTAATAGTTGCGTAAAAAAAAAAGTTAAAATACTATGTCTGGAAACAAATTAAAATGTCAAAAAGGGAGTTCTCTGGTAAACACTGGGTTTGAAGCTCTGGAGAATGTTTATTTGTGTGTATGTTGCTTGAAGCCCTGGAGAATGTTTAGTTGTGTTTGTTGCTTAAGATTCGTGAAGAGAATTCGTCACTCGTACGAAGAAGCCACCACTTACCGGCTGAGGATTGCAATTTTTAATCTATGATTGGATCATTGAGCAGTGATTTTTTTCATGCTACACCTCCTGCGTAAAGGCGTTTCAGTTGATACATTTTCATCTTTATAACTGGTCTCCACGTCCCTGCAGTAGATTTGAATGCTCGACGTAAGAACCAACTCCTCACTTAGCGACTCTGCATATACATATATGACCGAATGAGACCGTATAAACCGAGGTCCAGTGTCGCAGTAAGTACTGGCACGAAAAAAAAATCCCACACTGTTTTATGGCATTGAGTGCTGACTGTAGACCAAAATTTGTAGCTCACCACCAGCAAATGGTGGCGTCTCCATTTGAGTAAAAAATTCTCGAGAGGGACGTTAACAACAAACACACAAACGTAAACCAAGATCCCATGTTACGACAGGCGGTGGCATGATAAAGGTTTCACGCTCCTCAATGGTCCTTAGAGCCAAGTGAAATTCTAAATTGAATGCTGTTGGATGATGACATCTCTATATAAGTTTTTAAAAAATTCAAAAGAACTTAATTTTTATTCACAAGAACGATAAGAAAAATGTTCAAATGCGCTTTACTGCTCAATATCTACCTAGTGTACCTTACCTTCCATCAAAGGCATAAGACAAATTTCAATTTGGCAAGAAACAAAAAAGCAATGCATCCAAAACGTAATGCATCATTAAGGGATAGAAACTGATTTTTTTAGACATGTCAAATATCTCATGTTACAAAGACATGGATAAATAGACATTCTAGTTGTATGAGACATTAAAAGCATAATTTTAAAAACGTAAGAACACAGAGACTTTGCTGACATGTTCTTACATTGTATATCAGTAAAGTATTTTCATTTCTCAGTAAATAAGAGTGGCTGGAAAATGTTATCATATCTCCAGGGGAAGGAAGTCGCAACACAAATGGAAAAAAAATATGAATATGATATAAATAAAAAATATACCCAGGTATTCTTCATAAAAAAAATAGTGTATATTTAAATGATATTTAAATATCAATATTTGAATTAGTTGATATTTAAATAGTGGAATCCAAAATTTAAAAGCCAAAATATCTTGAAACCTTTCCCACTTATTCTAAGGCGAAGTATCTATTGGTCAACTATATATAAACTGTTGAACACCTGTGAACAAGAAACTTTGAATGGGGTTAAATCGTTATCTAGAAAGCACAATCCTTATATAGGTCCTAAAATGCTTTTAAGATAGATAGGAAAATTTGATTTTAAATATACTTTTGAGAGGTATTATTTAGATTAATCTTTCCTGCTACATTAGTAACAATAAGCATTCTCTCGAAAAACACCTCATCCGTAATTAAACATCCTGCATTTAAAAGAAAAATATTAAAATGCCCATAACAATACTCGCATTTTTCAATTCAATCATTTCCAGGAATACGATTTCAATTCAATCATTTCCAGGAATACGAATAATGTTTGAAGTGATAGAGATCAAGTCGTATTTATTTTAAAAAAAACCAAAAAACGCGCCAATTCTTAGAATTTCAAGACCTAGTTTAATTGGGTTCAGGTCGTACACTTAAATGTCTGTGGATTGTGCAAAATCATACTTCAGGTTTTAAATTACATCTCTCAAGGTAAATACTTTCCAAAAATAAATTAAAGTCAGTCGCATTGAAAGTTAAATGTCTTATCTGCAATATACATTCGCAATCATCGACCAAAACGTCAAAAATATATATTTGTTAGCGTCTGAAATGAGTGGAAACAAAACAAACAATATTCTACTTTGCAAAATAATGTTAATATAAAATTGAAAAATAAACAAACAATAGTTTAAAAATGGATTAGCTGGAAAGCGATATCAATTTTTTTTCCAAGAACTTTAAATTGGTATTTACACATATCAAAGGATGACTACGTAATTAAATGCATTTTAGGTTTTACAGAGATTTATACACACTTCTCGATCAATTGAGACATGTTATTTAAAAGAACTACTAAAAATCTCATATATACAAAGGAACAGTTGACAGATTAAGTCGGATAAAGCAAGTGCTCAAAATTTAAAGTTTTAATTACATATTTTTTTGCAGGTTAATTAATTGATTTATAACACAATTAAACAAGAGCACCGCTAAGCGGAGCATCCCCTCGCGGCGGGAACTGCATTGGTAATAGCAATATCTCACGAGGTATAAATTCTCAAGAGGAATGTTGAATATTGCCTGGACAATGTATGTACAATTTTCTCCAGGGGAAGGAAGTCGAAACAGAAATGGAAAAAAGTATGACTCAGACTCTCAAATTCTTCTAGTTATATTTGTATTTTTTCCTTATGTATATTAATATCCTTATAAAGGATATATTCAAATATAGTCATTTGTAACTTTTGTACATATTTGGTTAATTTGTTTGGCATTACAATAAATGCTCATTTACAACAAACATTTTGTTTTGATATTTGCAAAAAACAGAGCAGAGAAGACGTGGAGAAAATAAATTATTTGAGGAAGGTGGAAGACGATGGTATAATCGCATATTTATTTTTGCAAATAGATTAATTAATTTATAACACAATCAAACAAGAGCATCGCTAAGCGGAGCATCCCGTCGCGGTAGGAACTTCAAAAGTAATTGCAATATCTCATAAGGAATAAAATCTCAAGAAGGGCGTTGAAGATTGCGTGTACCATGTATTGTTTTTAACTCCCCTCTTGATAAATTTCAATCCTATGTAGACACCACCCATTGCCTATGGAGATCTACAAGTTTCCTACTATACACGTCACTTACGCCCATTAACAGGGGAGGAATCTTTTTGTGCTAGGATCTACTGCGACATGGTCCCTCGGTTCACATTAAGGGTCAACTCCCTTGCTGCTGGCGCTCTTACCACTGCACCAAGAGGACTACGGGGAACGGATATAAGCATCTATAAGTTTAAAGAGGTTGGGGTCAAAAAATTAAACATCAAATATACATTTATTTTTAGATATGATATCTAAGGCTGCCAACTATCATTTGGCCAAAAAAATCATATATTTCAATTTTAAGATTTGATCTTTTTTTGTATTTCTTTTTATGGGTCTCTTCTTCTAAAGGAGATCAAAAAAGTCTGAAAATGGCCACAACCACACAGCTTCTTCAATAGCATCTGGAGGTGGGTTAGTTGTTGGTTGTCCATTTTGCACAAAAATGAAAATGCAAAGCATCTTGCTTGAGGAGAAAAAGTTATACGGAAACCTTATTTGGATATTTAAGTTGCAAAAAAGATGAATATAAGATGTATTGCAGCAGCCGCAGAAGGGGGGTGGACATCTTTCACAAACATCTAATTATATATCAACTTGGTGGAGAGTTGGAAGGTGGAGGCATAACATGCATTTGCGAATGGGTAGTTTCCCTTATACCTTGCAGAAACATATCTCCTGTCATTATGAAACACCATAAATCAATTCTAATTACATATTATGTTAATAAACATTGGTATCTATGGTTAGACTAAAATTAATTAACATCAACTTCTGATATATGTAATTTTAAAATGCTTATACGGGGTAAAAATTTCGACTTTTTATTAGACCTTTCTGAGGACTTTAAAGAACCTTGCAGCACATTAAGAGGTATATAATGAAAATTGTTGCATGAAAAGATTTAATTTTCAAGCTTCATTTTGAGACTTTTGGAATTTAGTTGTAAATTAAAGAGTTGTCCTTCCTGGCTGATGATTGGAGTCCCTAAAAGCAACGACTTAAAAGTACAGAACAGCAGATTACAGAAATGTCACAAAAATTGATATCACTAGGAGACATATGTAATCAGACAAATAAATTTAGCGAAAATGTGAGTATTAATCTTCAGGAAGAGAGACTTAAACAAATTGAATGTGATGTAAGCTACGCTGTGTCATTGATAAGAAGCTTTGCTGTCAATGGTGTAAAGGATAGAAACAGAACACTTATGACAGAAAACAGTATGAAAGTTCATTTATACTTAGTACAAGAAAGCAGCAAATCAGATGAAATCAATTCAACTTTAGAATGGTATAGAAATGGTAGCGCGTTAAAAATTCAAAAGATTTTAGGTTTGTTTGCTTTCTTTTACTTTTCATAAAATCTAAAACATCTGTCAATTTTTCATTAAAATATGATGAGAGATGCATAAAACGTGATTTTTTTTTCTTTTTAGATGAAAGCAAAGACTCAATAACACAATAAAAAATATGGTATCGGACATTCGCCAGGATCGTCTTGTTTCGCAGAACTTTGTCAATTCCATTAATAAGTTGGAATCTAGTGTTCTTGGTATTTATTTTTCCTGTATTTATAAAAAAAAAGAAAAAGAAACAATATTTTAATTGAAATCCACTATAATACTACAGATTGTTTTTCTAGTTTTTACATGAATTAACATTGCTATATCCTTGATTACACATTGTTTTTTCATTATTACAAAGGTTTTTTAAGGAATCACTGTCTAGGTTTGAGAGTATGCCAGGGCATCAACAATAGTGGGAAACATGGGATAATTTGCATAACGGGCGAAGCCCGTTATGCTTAAATTATCCCATGTTTCCCACTATTGTTGATATCCCTGGCATACTCTCAAAACTAGACAGTGATTCCTTATATTTCCATTTCATTGTGAAATAAAATTGTAAACTTAGACATTAAAAATGTAAACTAATAGATTTAGATTACACGAGGACTTCCATGCAAATTTTAATAGTCCTCGCACACTGACGTCAAACACAAAGGCAGCCGCACGAGATTTTCATGCATGCTTGGACTCCTTAGCATCAGACACAGAGACAGATGCGCACGATATTTGTATGCGTATTAGGCCTCCTTAGCTGCTGACCTATCGACCTGCCTAATTTACATTCCGGCAGAATTATCAAGAAATAAATTCCCCCAACTTTCAAACAGTTATCACAGAGAAAAAAATTAGAAATGGAAATATTCTAAAATCAGACTCTGACAAATCTGGATATATTTTGTTTCTTATATGCACCTTTAGGGCTTCTCTAGTTTTAATAGAATTTCATGGAGACCGAAGTTATCGCATTCCGTAATTCAACAAGATTGATTTATTTCTGCTTAATTCATACTCAAAAGTATTTTCGGTACTTGACAGAAATACTGTTGATTTGACGTTAAACAGTAAACAATCAATCAAAAATTTTGAACTACATGTACATCGTCGCAAACCACGGCCACGATCCTCTCCAACTCTGTCCGTCGTTGAATGAGAAGAGAATATCACGTAGTTTATTAAAATGTTGACAAATACGAGTAAACGACAGTCAAATAATGACATTTGATGTGACCTTTTGATACCCAATCGCAGTGCACGAAATATTTCTTATATATTGCTAATTCAGTTGAAATAGAAAAACAAAGGCCCATGGGCCACATCGCTCATCTGAGCACTCTGGCTAGGAGAAAGTAAAAATTGGTTTATTATTGAAAAGTTTGAATCCAAAAGCAGTCCCATGACCAATCATGGTTTTGCTTTTCTTGAGAAGATGATTTTTAAAGAATCTTCCTATGTCTATGTTAAACTTTGGTCGGCCATTGTTGCCCCGTCCTACCCCCCGGGTCCATGATTGAAACAAACTTGAATCTACACTACCTGAGGATGCTTCCATTTAAATATAATGAATTATGGTTTTGCTGTTCTTGAGAAGATTTTAAAAGAATTTTCCTATATATTTCTATGTAAAACTTTGGTCGGCCATTGTGGCCCCGCCCTACCCCCGGGGTCAAGATTTGAACAAAACTGAATTTACACTACCCGAGGATGTTTCCCCATAAGTTTCATCTTTCCTGGCACGGTGGTTCTTTAGAAGAAGATTTTTAAAACAAACCAACAAATTTTTATTAATTCCCAATTATCTCCCCTTGAATAAGGGTGTGACCCTTCATTTGAACAAACTTCAATCCCCTTAACCCAAGAATACTTTGTGGCAAGTTTGGCTGAAATTGACCCAGCGGTTCTTTAGAAGAAGTCGAAAATGTGAAAAGTTAACAGACGGAAAGACAGACAGACGGACAGACGGATGACGGACAAAATGTGATCGGTAAAGCTTACTTGAGCCTTCGGCTCAGGTGAGCTAAAAACTTGTCATTGACTGAATATGACGTCACAATAGAGATGCGAACATATTAAAAATTACGACCTTTTTTGTGATCAAGCAGCCAAAGGTAGGATAGAGATGTATGCGGACTCCGCACCGTTGCTTGAGACGATGTTTAAACTACGGATTGAAAAATGATTTGGAACAAAGTTTTAAGCGAAAAAAACGACAATTTCATTGTTATTTGCTAAGAATAGGTATTATCAAATAGAATGTAAGATTTTAAAAATATATGTTTTACCTTGCATCATTTCTTTCAAAACATTTAAAAAGAATATTTTATGTAGGAAACAATTCCTTTTTACATTTTGTTATTTAGATATAAAGAAACATGTTGCGTTCACTGCTGGTGCAACAAATAGCAACTCCATGGGCAGCTCAACTCTGTTGTTTAACAGACTTATTTACGGTATTGGTGGTGGTTATGATACATCTACAGGTGTATTCACATCGCCTGAGACAGGAGTTTTTGTTTTCTTTGTTGTGGCGGTCTCAGAATCGGACTCAGATTTATATCTTAACATAATGTTGATCGGTGATGCAAAAGTGATAACGATGTCCTGGTATCCTACTGGTACACAGACTGGAGACAGGCTTTAGATAAAAAATCTTAATAGTGGAAAGTGCCACATAGATAGAAATTTACCACATGCCACTTTCTGTGACTTTCGATTGTAATCCAGAAAGCATTAGTTAGTTGCATAATAGTGATATGAAATATATTTAAGGTCATTGGCAAGGCAAAGTTTCCGGAGAAAAAAAGATTAATGCATGTTTTTTTTCACTTCACAAAACACTCTTTGAGAGTGATCTCCAATATGGTATGCTCTAAGCAATGAAAACAAATAAAGACAAATTACAGACTGAAAGGTTATTAAAAGCAAGTGACATTGTTTTTTTTATCGGATATTTTCATTTCTACAATAATAAAAGAAAACCAGCAATTGGGTATATTTACATTGTGCTGAGGGGGCAGACAGTCTACAGATAGTCAGTTAGAATAGGTACATGTATGCTGGGAAGTGAAAAGATGTGACATAATTATGCTGAAAGTGGTGATAGACCGGATGAGAACGGTTCTATATGTTATGTGAAGGAGGCACCATTAAATGTTAATAATTAAATCAAGCTAAAATGTTTTATGACAGTTTGTTTCAATAAAGTAAATTATTAAAAGAAGAGACAAACAGCCAGTCTCTTGATCATTATGAATAACAATTAGATGTTAAAGGAAGTGACTCAAAATCAAAGAACACTGCAGGTATGTTTGTGCCTTGTCTCTATATTTGCATTTTCAGCCAAAGTATATGCATGTAATCAGAAAAGTGGATAAAACAATGTATTCTATTTATAAACTTTATAAAATAAATGGGCTTTGGAGAAAACATGGTTAAAAATAATACAGGTCCATTTTCCCAACATTATACATGGGAAATGCATTGATAATTGTAAAAACATTAATTTGACAAAATCTTTACTTGTCAAAATTTCAAAGTCCCCACTTTTCTTATTTCAAAAAGTCCAAAACCTCAACATCAATGTACTAGTTTCTAACAATTTCGTCTCTCATTTGCAATACTTATCTGTCAAGGACAAAAAAAAAAATGTATTCGAATGCGTAATTACTCGACCGTGACCGTTTTTGTTAAAAAGTATAAAGTTCGAGTTGCAAATATTTTTCGGGTGTATTCTTCATATTTTTGTTACTTCCATGTGTTCTTCATTTTTAATTAATAAAGAAAAACAGGGAAAAAAGTTTGGTTAAAATGCTGTGTATGTCAACACAACAATGTGAAAGTGAAGTTAAATGGCACAAGCTGGTCGTAGTTAACAAGAGTTCTGTTCCCTTTCACTGTAAGACTTTATTTTACTCAAAACCTTTATAATTATCGCCAGAAAAACCTACAGAGCATACCTGAATTCCTTCTAATCATTAGAAATCGCTAGATTTTCAACAAACACGTCTACAAAATCATCCTAGAGTTCATCCGGAAAAATCAATAGAACAGGAACCGGAAGTGCCTTCCCCTCAATATCAAACTGGAGGACTGGGTTACACAAGTAATAAGACATTATTTAACTTTTGTCAGCTACGCACAGACACTTTCTGTAAGCCCCCTTGTCATCCTAATCTCAACCCTTATTAACACGTATGGAAGAAGATAAACCGGAGTTTGGGACGGCTTTTTCAGCAACAGAATCTAGCGGAACTAGAGGACGACCTTTCTCTACATGGAAAAACATTCAATAAAAGAATATTTTCTTAAATAATGTGAACTCTTTGGGGAACAGTTGTCTTGCTGTGAATTTGTTTAAGGACAGACGAGACGTTCCTTAATAAAATATAAATTTTTTTACGAATTTGTCTTTGAAGTATTGCTACTAAAACAGGTTTACACACAAAGAATTGAGGTACCTTACCAGGTATTTCTGCAAGATACCAGGGGTAGTTTTTCTTATATAATCCTTTGGGGAAGAATAAAAAATTTCGAATTTTAAATGTTTAAGTGTTTGGATTTTGAAAAAAACGTTTAGAAACTTGTTTAGAAATCAGAATGTTATTAAAATTTTGATTATTTTTCATACATTACGAAAATATACAAAACAGAATTTGAGAAACGTCTCGTCTGACCTTAAATGGTGGATAATGAAGTATTTAACGTTGTGGATTTTCAATTCTAGCGGGCCTTATTATTTCTGCATATCGTGTTAAAGAGTTTCAATAAAGTAAATTGAGAAAAAATTGTATGATCCTATTTTCTATTGTTTTATGTACTTTTGTGTTTGAAAACTATATCTCCATATGTTTCATGTTCTGTTCTCTATGATCACATATTTTTACATCTAGAAATATACGACAAATAATGTATAAAGGGTTACTTTTCGCCCATCTTATTTTCGCCATTTCACAATTGTAGACAATTTTGCCCCGTTTTAAATTCGCTCAGTCATAGATTCGTTTAAGAAATTATTCTATATTCTTTCAATTCGCCCCGTTTTAAATTCGCCCAAATGATAGTAAGGCGAAAGGGACGAAAATATAACAGGGCCAAACATTTCCCTGTATAAAGTAACTAATATACTTTAGATATTTTGTTTAGTTAAAAAAAAATGAAAGTTGTTTTATAAATTACATTCTTTCCGATATGCATGCGAATAGCATTATGACCAGAGCAGAAGTAAATTTTGAGATGAAAGTTCACATGTTTTAATTGTTTCAAATAGATAAAATAGCAATTGACAATTTCTTTTTTTTATGTTTTACTCCAAATTTTCAATTCTAAATTCGAGAATAATACGTAGGAATATATTTTTTTTCAGCACAGCTCAATTATTAAGAACTAAATGAAAACTAATTTATTTCCTGCAGACAACATTACATATTCTCTGGCAATTAACGTCGATCCATCCATTGTGATGAAAGGAGTAGGCGGCACAGTGTTCCGAGTGGTTAACGTTGTTCGGCTCCTCCCGGTACCAATTCTTGTACGTTGGTTTCCTGGCATTAGAAATTGACAGGAATTCACCTTCTCTTTGAATATCGCTATACCCAATCCAATAAAAAATTGGCATGCCTGCAAGATAATCATTTTAAATGATAAATGCTTCATGTACAAAGTGAAAACAAATCCTTACCCTTTTTAATTTAATTGCAATGGTTTACATATTTCTCTTATACCTAGAGTATTTTAAAATTTTATTTAAAAACAGAACTTCACTGACAAAAAAGTACAATAGTTAACTGCTTAGAATAATGGTTTGCTATTAATTTATTTTAGACGATTGCAGTAAATTGTTTTCAGTACCGTAAATCAAAGTTTTTTGACTATGAATTTCAGTAAAATATTTTATTGAATGAAGTTCCTATAATCTATCTTATTATAATAAAATGAACGATTTCTTGTTTGCAACAATTAACATTTATTGATATGTAATTTACGAAACATTTGGGCTCAAAATCTTCAAAAAAGTTCAAGAGTTAAGTTTCATAGTAAATGAAAGTATCAAAGTATTCACTATAGCTAATACTATAGTAAATTTTTGGTAGGGATGTTTAATTGTCAGATGCCCTTTGCCTTCGGAGGGAGACTTATCAGCAAAAATGACTGATTACATGTACATTTACATATAAAGAAAGAAATCATGAATGGTTACAATTTCAAACCAACTTCAAATATTTTTGTATTTCTAATTTTAACATATTAGACTTTAGCCATCCATTCAAACATTGGACCTACATTTCTTTCTTTAATTGATGTACCTCCATTAACAATTAATCGTGTTACAAACCCCTTAATCGAAACTGAAGATCAATCCATTTTTCTTCTGTTTCATCTTGTGGTTCTATAACATGGCCGCCTATCTCATAGCATGTCAGCTTACAAGAAAACATATTGTCTTTATTTGAATCAGTACAAAATAACTGCACTTTTGAAATGAAGTTAAATACAGTGCACGTTTTAAAGAAGGTGAAACAGCATGTATACACTAGATTGAAAGCTTGGAAGCAAATATAGAATGTTTTTTTTTAAAAAAGTATATTTCAAGGTACATGTATTAGAAATTATAGTGCAATAATTACCTTAAGCAAAATGCGAATATTAATAAGTACAGGATACTAAGTCATTCCAGATATAACGATTAAGAATATAATATCAAATGTTTATCCTTTATAACTGACATTGCTCTATTTAGCTAAACTACTATATTTTTTAAGGAAATAGACTACTTATAAGGGCACTGTAAAGGTTAATTTCTTAAATAGAGCATATCTATGAATCGAATTACATAGGTCACGGTAGCGTAGTGGTAGAGAGTTCTTGGTCGGGAGGCTCGGTTACGATTTTCGTTCGCGGCGCCGCGTCAAACCTAAGACGTAAACAAAATTAGGGACTGTTCTTTCGCCAAGCCCTCGGCAAAAGAAGTGAAAATCACGGTCTTTCGGATATAGCCCTAAGAACGTAGGTCCCGTGTCTCGAAGGCGTTGGCACGATAAAAAAACTCTCACTGCTCAATGGCCCTGAGTGCCGAGTATAGGTCTAAATTTAAAGCCCATTACTGGCATACAGTGTCGTCTCTTTATGAGTGAAAAATTCTCGAATGGGACGTCAAACAATTTACAGTCAAACAATATAAATCAAAACAACGGTCGATGAAAATTACGTCACTATTGTTTCGAACACTCACGATTACGTTAATATATCATCTTCAACTCCATTGCAAAAAGTCAAAAAAAATTTAATAACATTTAAAAGATAAGTACTGCCTAAAATTCAAGCATTTTTAAATTCATATTTGAAAAACAATGAAGATAATCGCGAGCAGGGCGTCTAGACACTTACCATTGCTTCCTTTAAGGTACCATTCGTTGATGAGAAGTAATAACAACGTTTGTCAAAGGAAGCCCAGGTCTCCTCACACACTGCAGAAAAGATATATTTCATCAGGATATTTTAAGCAGTATGTCAAAATCTGTCTATCTTTGCCGAAATTCGACATAAAATAAGTTTTTAAAAAAGATTATAGTTAAGCAAATATTGAATTGAAGAGTTATGCGAGTCGTTTTTTTTTTTACTGTTTACATCTGCATGTCTGTTATA